GCTGTAGCTGTAGCTGTAGCTGATAAGCTGCTGCTATCAACGCCTTACGCCCAACAGCCCCCCTCGCTGGTACACATCAAGCAGCGCAGCATCCGCTTCCGTTGCGCTGCAGCGTCAGCTTAGTATCCTGTTTTGCCCAGATTTACAGCTGAAACTCCTTGGTATTTCAAGTGCATGTGTGTGTGTGTGTGTTGGATGTGTGTGTGTGTCTGTTTATCTGTGGCGTTGCCGGAAAGTGAAACGTTTATGAAAACGTCCGGCTAGGCGTACCACAGCCCGCACACTCACACACACACATACGTATACACATCCTTAAGGCATGACCTTCTTTGGTTTCTGCTATGCTAAATTTCATATTAACTTTCATCAGCTAATTTCGCTAGCTGAACAATGCTTGAAGAATTTAATATCCTACTCGTTTCGCCGGACCCCTGGAACCCTGGCACCCTGAACACTGGACGCTGGCTAAGTGTGAATGGTAGCCATGAATCCTTTCCTCCTTTTCTCCAGCTCGGACTGGCCCTTGTCCCAAGATAAACAATCAAGTCTTGACCCAGTTCTATGCCACTCGTTTGCCTTGCCCTTTGTCATCATCATCGTCAGTAAAAGCAGCAGCAGAAGCAGCAGCAGCAGCTTTGACATGGAATAGTCACAAGAACAAAAAAACTACAACTAAAGTATGAAAAAAGCGAGCGAGTTGCAATGATACCCTGTAGATGAATAAAATTATATATGAACTAAATATATGAGATTAATTAGTATGAAAGTCATTGCAACGTTTTACATAAAAAAATAAAAAATAAAAACAATAAAAATATCATTTAAAAAAGACAAAATATCTAAGTTGAAAAGCCATAACTAACCTCTGTTAAAAATAAATTATAAACTTTGGATGATTATTAAAAAACTGTTCAAGGAAAAGTGAAAAAAAATTATTGTTTAAATATAATAAGAAATATATGAGAGCAATTGTAATAAGTTTACTGTGTGAAATGTTATAGCAGCTGAATAATTAACTGCGATTAAACAAATCCTGAAAATTGTTTAAAATATTCGTATGAATATAAACATAAAATATACTAAATGTGTTACTTAAACCTAAAATATACTAAATGGGTTAAAATATTTTAATGAGATAGATAAGATCTTAATCCTGCTGTATGCGGTTCAAGGTATTACTGGGTGAGACCGAGACTAGTTACTACTAGACTAGTTAAGCTTCAGGATCCTTCAGGATCGCAATGATAATCCGACGAAATAGAAGAGAAATTATTTATATAGTATCGCTTTCCCTAATCAAATATTAGGTCTTTATTTAATACATAAATGAAACAATAAAAAATTTAATAGACTTTCAAATCTTGCTCACTTTCTTTATATCCCATTCAAAATATTTTAATAGGGTATAAGAAAAACGAAATTTTCGTAAGAATGAGATGAAAAATCCGCCAAGTTTACATGCAGAAATGTGCGCTAACCCAAAAATTGAGACAGCTTTGCCCCGTTGAACACACTCACACACACGAACTCACACATTTACAGCACACACACACATATATAACCCAATATATTTGACTATAATACAATTTCTTTTTGTTTTCGTTTAGAGTTGGCCTGGGGCTAGGAGCTAGGTGCATGGTATATGGGCTCTGATGAGTGGGTGAGTGGGTGGGTGGGAGGCCAAAGTGCAGTCAGACAGCCATTGGATCATTTGTCTTGGCATTGTTGCCTTTTACAGATTTCTTTTTCCTGCTGCTTTTTATTGCTACTGCTGCTGCTGCTGTTGCATGAAAGTTTCGGCTTCGTAGAGCTGCAATGGGGCTTATGGGCTTATAGGCAGCTTATAGGACAGTCGAAGCAAACGAAAATGAAAGTATGCAAATAGTAGTTGACAGTTTGGCAAAGTTTTGCTCAAAAAAGTCAAGAACGATAAAAATAGATAACTTTGAATAAATAGACAAACACATTTGAGCGAGTCAATAAGTATTAGAAAACACTTAAGAAGAGATGGGCTGGCAAACGGAATGAAAAAAATGTATAAAAAAGTTAATCGAGGTAGGTTGATAAAGACGGGTAAGACGCATTAAAAAAAAAAATGTTTTTAATAAATTTAAGGTTAATATAAACAATATAACAATATAACAATATAACACTATAACACTATAACACTATAACACTATAACAATATAACAATATAACAATATAACAATATAACAATATAACAATATAACAATATAACAATA